TTTCCCCCGCGGGGGGGGGTTAAGGGCACCGTGGCAGATGCCGCCGTGAAGAGCACCGCGGGCGTGGGGCGTGCCAGAGGGGCATCACCGGCTAATGCTGTCATCTGGGCTGGCAGGACATTAAAAAGCAGCGGGAGGCCGCCGGGGGAGTAGAGAGTCTTGGACTGGCCACAGGGAAGGCGGGCGAGACAGGCGTTGGGAAGGAGGACAGCAGATACCGGTAACTAGCCGGGGTGAGCTGTAACCCCACGCTGGTCAAATTGAGGGGGACCGCAGGTAGGGTAGGAAGTGGCCCAGGGCTGGGCTGAGAACCCTGAGTGCGGGTGAGTTTAAGGGTTTACGCCCCATCCGCAGGCAGGTGGGAAGTAGTTCCCCCCCGCCTTAGGGCCCTGGGCTGGGGCTCGATAGTGTGTGCAGGCCCGAGCCCCACTACCCTGCCACTAGCAGGTGTTATGTCTGTCGGTACGGCGGGTCAGCCTTCCACAGCAGCCATCCAAGTCGAGCAGGGTGCTGTAGTGTAAGGTTTGGCCCGTGGGATTTGACGGTAAAACGAGAAACTAATAAAAAAAATCAACCACGACTTGGGGGGTGGCCTTTGTACAGCCTGCGTGTACCCGTGCACGTTAACCGATGAGCTCATACTTTGTTATCTGTGTATGTGTTTGCACTTTCACATCCCTAGTTAAAATAAAGACTAAAGTTAAAAGGTAAATTGTATAGCAGCCTGGCACTGGGTCAGGAATGGATAAAAATGAGAAATAGACATGGGATCCTGCCCCAAACACACTGTGCAACATTATCCTGAAAGAGATGTACTTGCCATGCTTGTCTCTTTTTTACACTTTAGAAACATTTGTATAGCTTGCCTTGCAAATAAAGAATCACACAATTGACAGATACCTGAAATGTTCTGGATTTGTTCTTGAAGTGCAAGGGATTTGCATGAGTCTTGATTGGTAAGGGGAGTGTCGGATGAACAGATGCAAGTTAAGATCAGGGTTTGGGATAGGATAGGCCAAAGATTAGCAGGCCTCTGTGCTGGGAAGATAGGCATGGTAGAGAGGCTGAAGAATATAGTCCGGGGGTTCTTCACACTTAATAATATAACAAGACCATTTCATAAATAGACTTTATTTCTTTATATTGGTATAGCTTAATTCATAGTATGGTTTTGTGCTCAACTAATTTACTCTGTTAAAATGTGAAAGCATAAGACCAGATCCCCATGTGACACTTTTGTAGGGTCTAGAAGAATGAGGAACAAACTTATGTTGAACAGAAACCTGTTTTGTTTTACAGCTATTCTCCTATGACCCACTATACATTTGGTAGTTCTCTAATTATGGATGTGTAACAGTCATTGAAAATGGGACTCTGAATCTGAAAAGTCAGACTATCAATTAAGAAAAGTTGCACCAGAGTAATTAATGCTGTAGAATCTTAAATCACCTAACCAGAAACTCTCTCAGTTATACTAAAAGACAAGAAAACTGGTCAGTAGTGTCTTCCTTGTGGTTATTTTAATGGACAGTAGTTTTCCTGTGGATCTGATCAAGTGGACTTGGCACATACTGCACATATCACTTTTCTCATCATGGTTATGAATTTTTTTTTGTTATTAATCTTTTATCCACTTTTTTTGTTCCATTGCTAACAAAAGTTACTAGAAATCTTAATCCTCTTTCAGAAGAAAGTGAGTTTCCAAGTTCTGGTTTCCCCAGAATATATTTAAAGAGTTTATTGTACAGGCTGAGCCTTTAGTCCACCCTGGAGACCTGACTGGTGCCAAACCAGAAAATTTGCCGAACCATGGGATATCAACATTGTCTAGCCGCATAACCAACAAATAAGGCAGACACACACAAGACATGTTTAGCTTAAGCTACAGCGAAAAACGAGACTGGTAATGCTCTTGTATAGATTACAGATTGAACCTTTCTACTCTGGCACCCACGGAACCTGACTAGTGCCAAACCTGAACATTTGCCAAACCACAGGAGATCAATATTGTCTGGCAGCATCGCCAATACTTTAGCTGCTGACTGGGCTCTTAGAAGACATTGAGAGGTAAAATAGAGCTAAATCACAGCACAGAACACTGAGAGCCAGGACTGGGGGAGTGTAAACAACCTTTATGGGAGTGTGGGAAACTTAGCCACATGCATGGTAAGTGGACATGCAGTTAACTGTAATCATGCTGGACCACAGCTGTTGCTGGACCAGAGTGTGCCAGACTAGAGAGATTCAACCTGTACTATTACCCCAAAGTGCATCTATTACACCTTCTTGGAGGCTACTAATTACAAAACAAATAATAAACTCATACAATTATCAGGAAACTTGATAATCTCATTGTAGTAATTTTCTGCATTACATGTTTATGTACCCAATAAATATTTTATTGCAACGTATTAGATAATCTAATATACAGATAATCTCAAAGCTTGAGACATACGAGCAGCACCACTCCTAAGTATAAAAAAAATCGTGAAAATACTCTTAATGAACATTACAACCTAGCCTATTATCTCTCTGGTCACCAGCCGAGTGTCAGTCCAATCACTAGGTACCACCTGCTTCCAGGCCCAAGTTTATGACTCCAGACTTCAATCGTGATGGCTTTTCAGTGCTAGTCTTTCAAGGAGGTGTCTGTTTACACTGGATTCATAGTGTAATGGAGGCTTATTTCTCCTCTCATTCACATTACCGTAAATCAGGAATAACTGCTGAAGTCAGAGGAATTTGTCTTATGTCAGTCCCCAAAGTAAGAATGACATAAGAACCCAAATTACAGATCACTGCACTCAATGGAAAACTCCCACTGACTAGGGATATAAAAATGGCCCAGAATAGTTAGCCAGTTAAACAATTTGTTTACCCGGTTAACTGCCAGCAGCAGCGGCTGCTCCGGCCCTACAGCAACCACGGTCTGGCCAGCGCCCTGAGGGGGAGGGGAGTAGAGGGGGCCTGCAGTTAGCCAGTAAGCATGCTGGTTAAGGAATATGCTAACCAGTTAACCTTTAACATCCCTACCACTGACTTCATTGGGCTTGGATCCGACCCTAAATAAGTGCAGGGTCAGGCCAAGGAAATTTAGACTGAATATCAGAAAAACATGTTAACAGTGAACTCGCACTGTGGAATAATCTCCTTAGGGAAGAACCGGAAGGCCCAATCCTAGGGACATTTCAGCTAGGATTCTAGTGTGAAATCTTGGCTCTTATTGAAGTTAGCTACAAAATTGGCATTAACTTGGCCCCACTTAATTATAAAAAATATACCCACGTCTGGCATGAGCAAAATCTACTATCCTGTTATAATCAAAATAATCAAGCCTCCTGTTTCCTCTCTAAAGCAGTGAACAAAATCAATCAGATAAAGAGCTATTGACTTAGATGCTACCACAGTGGGCTTCATCACGTGGATTAAATCTGCTATTCAAATACGGGCTTGCAATATATGACACTTCTCCCTTTAACAGTGTTTGGATTCTTTCCTAAATAATTTCATGCTAAAATATCAACTTGACCTGATTTAAAACATTTCACAATCTGTCTCCAACGTTGAAGTCGTGTACAAAAAGTAGTGCAATATAAAATGGTTCACTCTTGAAAACGCCTTGAGTGCCTTCCCCTATAAAAAACATACATTAAAAAAACCTCACCGCCTTCATTGATCCAGTACTAATGTTACATTGTAGTTCTCATTTGTAGCAATGTAACGAAAATCAATCTCTATTTAAAGTTTAATACCTATGTTGTTTTTCTTTCCTAGTGGACTTTGGTGTTGAATAGAGAGCCCTTGAGAAAACCCCAATGATAGTTAGGTTGATGATAATGGAGATACCAATTGAACCAACTGTTTCAGAAAGAGAGAGAAGTGGTGAGAAAGCTAAGAGCCAGTCGCGGCGTACATTCATGTCCATAAAGATGGCCTCCATTTGGAAGTGTGTGCCCATAATCCCACACACATGGAAAAGCTGATGGCTGTGCCCTGCAACAGAGTCAAATATATTTAACAAGAAACATGTCTGGATTTCATTAAAATACACCTCTAGCAGCTTAGCAAATCTTGTATGCAAAAATTCTATTTATTTATTTAACTAATTTACATGTTAGTGTGATGCTGTTTAGGGATGTAAAATCCTGTTTAGTTACGTTAACTAGTTAAATGTTAAGTTTAACCAATTAATAGATTAAATGGGGGAGGTTCCCCCACCTGTCATGGATGGGCTAGAACACTCCACCCCTGTTGCCCCACAGAACATGAGCAGCCCCCTACCCACGGTAAGTGGGGGGCTGCTCCAGCCCCTAGGGTACGTCTAAACGGCGTTGCTCGGTCAGGATACTGGAAGTATCCTGAAATAGCAAATCCACATCTCTAAAACGGCCGCTATTTCCCAAAATAGCAGGCGCGCTAGTCCAGCATCCCTGTAACCGTTGTTCCACGAGGGTTAAGGGATTTGTTGGAATAGTGCCTTATTTTGAAATTTAGTGCTGTGTAGACGGCGCCAAACTTCAAAATAATCTTTTGATTTAGATTCAGAATAAGCTACGCAATTGGCAGACCACAAATTGCATAGCTTATTCCGATAAAAGGGTGCCGTCTAGACACACCCTTACTGCTGCAAAACTAAGACAGTTATCCATTTGGAAACTCACTGAATCCCAGCCTACCATAAATCAAAGCTCTGGATATATATTGCTTTGCTGTGATTCTGTAGAGACTACATAAGCTAAGTGAGTAGGAGGAGTAGGGTGGATCATTGCTTGGATGGGAGGCCACCAAGAAACACCTAGGTGCTGCAAGAAGTGGTATTGGTGCATCACTCTTTTTTCCAGTTCAGTACTGAGTTGCATGACATTATGGTGTAGGTTCTTTGGATGACAAAGAACCCCTTTTTGGTCCTTAAACATCCTGTGAAATGTTCTGAAACAGCAAGTCATTGGAGATGGTTACCTGTACAATTATGCATGGCTACTCTCACCATGAGTGTGAAACAGTGAATGTACCTGTATGTCCTGATATGAACCATTTACTCTCCTTCACACCTACAATATCCCTCACCAGATGCCCACGCTTTTGTGCTCTTAAGCGCTGGAAATAAAGACCAACAAGAATCACTGTTCCGCACTCACCAATATAGTCAAAGCGTCCTGGTGCAAGCCTCTCAGGCAGATGTGAAGCAAAAATGAAACCGGTGAGGAAGGCAAACACACAGTGCCTGTAGTGGATTGGAATTACGCTTTCCATGCAGCTCTCCCCAGTACACAGATAGAGCTGTTATATCAAAAGGAAAAGTTACACATGGGGGTACCAAGAAAAGGAAAGTGAGAAAACGACTGAGGAATACCTCCAGATTGGCGCCAGATCTGCTGCTCTGCTAGGGTCACCTTCTGGCCTCTTCAAATGATTAGAGGTGGCTGCAGGAGTCACCCTGCCCAGCAGAAATTTCCCCTAGCAGAAAGCTTGTATAGACAGTTCCACTGTCTCCTGTGCCAGCCACTTCACCGTGAGTGTAAGCAAAGAATGGAGCAGGAGCCGTCATCCATTGGGACATAGGTGGGATGGACAGTGAAGTGGTGTGGCTGTATCGGAGTCTTATTCACCAATTGTAAGGTCCTTAAGGGCCCTTATGCCAATGTGGTGAGTTAAAGTCTTTTCCCCTGGAGCTTCAGTTTGGTCTGTGGCTGCGAATCATAGAACACTAGAACTGGAGGGATCTTGAGAGGTCATCGAGTCCAGTCCTCTTCCCTCATGGAAGGTCCCAGTACCATCTAGACCATCCCTGATAGATGTCTATCTAACATGCTCTTAAATATCTCCAGAGATGCAGATTCCACAACCCCCCTACACAATTTATTTCAGTGTGTAACCACCCTGACAGGAAGTTTTTCCTAATGTCCAACCTATTTCAATTTTCTGAAGTTGAATCAGGCAGCTCCATGCCCTCCCTGCTGGGACACAGTGCAGAATCCAGCCCAAACAGTCTCTATTTAACTGGGCTTTCTTGCCTGTGTTTACAAAGGATACACTACCTATCCCTGTCACCCTATATATAAAGCCAATGAGGCTTTGCCATCTTTGACTACTAGCCATCCCAGGATGAAGACTAAAAGTGGCCACTTGCTCAGGCTGAATTATTGCACTCTGGGATCTGAAACCATGTGCTGAACCCAGCAGTAGATACGAGAGAAGATACAATCGTCTCCATTTTATGCAAATTATGGTCCAAATCCTGATGATCTTATTCAGATTTTGCTCGGGCAGCACTCCCCCGAGAGCCAAGAACCACAGGTAGCACAAATTAATCTGTACGCCAACAAGTATTTGCTAAAAATAGTCAAACAATGTTTTCTGGATCCTGTTATTTCCCTTTAAAATGAAGCCTATACACTTTCGTAAATATATGCGCTCTCTTGTTTATAGCGGATGGGTACTTCACCTCAGGAAGCTAATATGTTTTGTGGCACTTTTATGAAAGCTGAATGTTCAGAGCATACCCGGTAGAAGAGGGGGGTGCTGTCAAACAGGTACGGATACACAAAAGCCAGCATGCGAAGAGTTTTACTGAGCCTGGGTTGCTGAATCTCTGAGAACCTACATAAAAAAGCATTTCAAATTAAAAAAGGCAAGTCAGTATTGTGCAGCTGCCAGGGATATTTTTGAAGGAACAGCGGCTTGCAGAGCAAGTTTTTGGACTAAACCATTTGTTCATAGCTGTTGTAATCAATACTCGCGTACAAAAAGCTGTCTTTAAAACCACAAGCGGCACTGGAGAAATTAGTCATATTACAGCCCTCCTCAGTTGGCTTTGCAACTAAATATTGTAAAGCATGTGGCGGACAATCATGCCTCATAAATGTCCTGGTTTGTCTGAACCATGGCCTTGTCTATCGTGTATCCATCAGCTGAACTATGCAAAGACTGGTCAAGACTGAAAACCTGGCCTAGACATACTGAAGTCAATGGAAATATTCCCACTGCTGTTAACAAGCAATGGATGAGGCCTTTTGAAAAGCCACAATTCTTCCCCACTAAACTCCCTCAGTTCTCCACTTCCTCTGCCTTCCTTGGCTCCAATGGTGTAGGCAAGACAATTACATTGAAAACAGCACAAGACTCAGCTAACAGGAGCATAGCAGGCCAATTGTCATAAATAATCAATGAGGAATGGAGCCGAGGGCTATCGTGATTCTGAAGTTCAGCAGACAGTTCCACACTGCTAGTATTGTGGTGCGGTGCCTTGATGTGACAGAGCCCGCTGGTTCCTTGTGTGGTTTAGTATAACAACCTTCCCAGCTGTTTTCTGCAGACCACAGTGGAATTGGCAGCAGATTGAGGACCCTCTAGTGGTTTCCAGGATGGCTGAATCAAACAAATTTATTTCCCAAATTACAAGAGTCTTACCATTTTGTAAAATTACAGAACAGAAAGCAAATCAGGCACAATTTTCTAAGCTCCGATTGACTAAAATGGATATCTTTTGTAGATGTAGATTGGCATGCACTGGGCTCCAACACAGACTCTGAGGAGCTTGCAAAGTATGAAATCATTTTACGTCATCTTGGCACACATTGGGATGGTTCTTGGCCTGCCGTGAGGGCAGGGGTCTGGATTCAATGACCTCTGAAGGTCCCTTCCAGTTCTATGAGATAGGTCAGTAGAACTGCTTTGAAATATAATATATGGAGATATACCTAAGGCAAAACACTGAGAACGCACTTCCTTTACAATTTAGCAACAGACACACCAGCAGGAAAAAAACATTTATTTTAAATAGCTGCCAAAGTTATTTTGACCTCTGAGTTTTTGTATTGCTTGATTAGATATTCAACCCAGTGTTGTCATAAAGAGAGATTTATTTATATTGAATTACAAGGCTGCATTCATGCCATAGTCACTAAAGAAATGCATTAAGCTGAATCATAGTTTCAGTCTAGAATGCATGAAACGTACCTCAGAATACTTATATTTTACATCCAGCCAAGATTCTGCAAATGTACCATTTCAGAATGGGAATATAAACATACCCGCTAAAATCCAAAATAAATCTGGTCCTCATTACCTTTCTATGATATCACTGTTATAGTGGAGGTACGGTGCACCAAGCCTGTTGGTTACAATCATATGGTAAATGAGACAGAAAGGGTACACTTGGGTGGAGCAATATATGCCGGAATTTGTTAGCAAAGCAAAGAAAATGGTTGAGATGCACTTTATTGGTGCAAAATCTAAACAATTTAATAGTCCTCAGCAAATGTGCCAAACTGAAAAATGGTAATGATGTCAAAAAGTGAAGTTAGAACACCAGACCTTTCGGCAGAAAACACACGTTCATAGCTGACTTGCATTTACTCAAA